AGGGCACCTTTACTGTTAATGTGTTTCTGGAAAGCCTAGTTCCAAAAGTGAGGAATGGCCCTTGAGGAAGGCTACGCACACATAATTTTGAGGAGTAGAAGCCCAAATGACGAGTCCTTAGTTTTCTTGCCAGGCGCCATTTATCTAGGGTTTCCAAAAGGGCACGCCGCATGATGGCCTAGCTGTTCTTCCATCCACCAACAGTTGGAGAAGGGGTCCATTCGTTGACAATCGGAGAAACATGATACCAGCTTGCCTGTGGGCGTGGAGGTAGAACAGAGATAGCCATCGAGAACGGAGATAGCCAGCGAGGAGTAGGTTGGGCGTTTCTTCACAGGTTTTGGCAGTGTTCCTTCTGTCCACAAGTGTAGCACCAATTGTGAGTAGAGGCTTCTTGGGGAGTCCTTAAATCATTTTAGGAAATCCTGGGCTCGAGGAGTGCCGAAGAGAAAGCTTTGTTGTGAGCTCATCTGTTGATTGGGTATTCCGGTCCCCTTGAACATGGGCTGATTCTTTTTGTCCAAGCAGCTTTCTGAGTTTTCTTAATCATGTATTCCGTCAAACACAGGCTACTACCATGTTAGGTATGCAGTGACCTACACCTCTGTGTTAGCTCCGATTGAGCTCCTTTTTATCTGCATTAATACCTGAGCAACTCCAGACCTTAAACCCTAAACCATTTGAGCCATAATCTAAACTCCTTAAAGGGGGTCACATAAGAGTTAATAGCGGACTACTATAGGGATTCTTAAGAGGGATACCTGGAGTTTAGAATATGGTTCATTTTGTTCAAGCCAGCTTTCAGGTATCTGCGGTGCTTGCAGAGACTTGCCACAGCCTTGGACGTAAAGGGCTTCGAGGTTAAGGTTTAGGGTTCAGTAGCCGAAGATGCACAGCGTTGCCCAGAACCCTAAACCCCAAACTCCAGTATATTGGTGGCAGAGCAGGCTTGTGGTCATGTCACAACGGCTCCTTGCCTGAGGCCATGCACCCGTCATCCAGACGATGGGCCATGAGTGATGGTGTTCAGGTTGGAAAGCCAATGTGGGGGTTTCCATACATGTGGGGGGCCCCCAACTGGACCCTAACATATTCTGATCTTTATTGCAGAGACTAGCCGACTAACCAAAAAAAGGGCCCCAAAATCCTAAGCTTCCTTTGCCTTGCACATCGTCCTTAATAGCAACCCAGTAGTTTTTAAGAGGGACTTGGGGAATCTGTGTACGGGCTGTATATACGGGATTTCCCAAAACTTGGGGGTCCCCATAATAAGGACTATCATACTTTGGGTTCCCTTAACTAAGGAAACTACCATATATGAAGGATTGATTGCTTGTGGTGCCCCACCTGAGAACCCCCCACGTGCCCTGACCGCAGGGCCGATTTTTCCAGAACGACATTCCCTTGCTTCTGCTTAGTCTGCGACCAAGAGATCTGTGCCAAAATGGGACTACGGTCCTTCTTAGCAGATGCAATTTAGGGCTCCCACCCCAAATATTGTTTAATATGGCCCCCAATATATACTATCAAATACTGTTATAATATATTATATACTATGATATACTATTATATACTATTATTGCGTCTATTTGTGTGAAGCCCAACTTTGGCGGTAGACACAAATTTATTGGCTGTTAGTAGGGAATAAGGGAAATCCTTATATAACCCCTGTATAATATTTTCCCCCATTTCCTACTAATCCCCAGAAAAAGCCAAAAACCCGAAACCCTGAACCCTAAGAGGCGCTCAAAAAAAAAACCTAAGACACAGGTCTCTGCAAGCTTTTCCCGGGCAGCTTACCTCTTCTCTCCTTGGTGCTGCCCGCGCGAGCCCCGAAGAGCCTTCTAAGAGGCTGACTTGCTAGTTTCCCAAAATAAAGGGACCCAAATCTGGACCAGTCCTTATCCCCAAACTGGTACCCCTAAATTTGGGGAAACCCGCGCCGATTGACAGAATTCATCCCGACCTGCTACCCTGCCAACCATACTATAGGGGCCTAAATGGTTACCAATATTATGGTTCCATATTCTTTGTATAGTTATAGTATATGGTACCTCAAATGGACCTCAAAATGATATTGGTAATCATCTAGGCCCCTATATTGGATGAGATTTTCGGCTTTCCAGACGCATGGCTTGCAGAGCTTGTTCCGCATAGGGTTTAGGGCTTATCTAAGTTTAGGGCCCCTAATATGGGCTCTTATTCCTTCTAGGGGCCGTACATATCAGGTATATAGTAGGTATATAAGGATCCCAGGAGAAAGGCTTAAACTTCGGGATTTGGGACTCAGGGCCGGAGTTTTGGATTGACAGCGCTTAATATTCTTAACAGCAAGCGTGTGGATTCAATACCTACAAGGAGTAAATGGTGGTATGCACATGGGGGTCTTCACATATCTTGGGATGTAACCAGGGATCCGTTGAAGCCCCACAACAAGAGTGGGAGCGATTTTCAGGTAGTGAATCGGATCTGCTGGCTGTGCGTCGACTTCTGGGCAGAGCGAGTGCGAAGCCCTAGCAACATCCGGCTCTTGGGTAATCTTGGGTAGTTGTGGCCTCATGTATCATGTAGGCGATTGCTTAAATCATGGACCCTTTGCGGAGGCCGGACAAAATCAGCACTGTGCATGGCACAGGCACAGATGATTTGGGGTTCGAAAGGATTTGATTTTCGATAGCATGTGCATTGTCTACAGGAATGATGCAAGGCTGTGTAGAGAAAACATGGGTTTGAGATTTTGAGCACGGACCAAGCATGATTTAGTCGTCTTCTCTGCAGATGATTGAAGCATTTGTGGACAGGTACATAGGGATCATTTTATTGCTCTGAAGGTCACTAGTGGAAGGTTGCGCAAGGTTTGCCAAGATTCCAGCACCTTAAACCCTACACCCTAAACTGGGGCCTTTCCCACCAACTCCAGGCACTAGAAGGATTTAGTTGTATCGGCGAAAGGCTAGGATTGGTGAATCAGGCCGGCTATTGAAGAAGGTTTCCTTTGTGGTGTGTGGATACATTTTCTAAGAGCAAGATGGCCAGCCAATGATTTTTGAGCAGAGTTGCGTAGTGTCGTTCGTATATCCTGCAAAGCAATCCAGTAACAGCTGTTGAGGACAAGGTTGCAGGCCTCAAAATTGTTTGAAAACGAGGGGGATACCAGCAGTTTAGACAATAACCCCTATAATCCCCTATATAATCCCAGTTCCCATTTCATTTTCCATGTTCTTTTCCATTTGATTATCCAGTAGTAAGGAGGATACCAGGAGTTTAGACTGCGATATATAGAAAAGATTGTAATATGCTATAACATACGAGAATATACTACGTTATACTATAACATACTCTCATATACTGTAGCTCACATAGCTCCCGAGAGTTCCGAGATGCCCAGGCAGCTAATACCACAGCGGCTTTGGGTGCCTTGCAGGCAGAATCCCAGCCTTTGTGGAACTTCAGCTTCCTATCCAATGATTAAAGGAGGAAAAGCTGGGTTTAGGGCTTGGGCTCCATGTGCGCAAGGTTGTTTGAACAAAGCTTTTTGGAAGGCCCCGAAGTTTCAGGTTCCACATGGAGAGCAGCGTCATTTGGAGTTCTGCGAAAGGCCCTATCATGTTGTCCAGTACCACGGGTTCGTGTGGCAAGCTTCCTGTGATATGCGCGCCAAGCGATGCTGCGTTCGGATACTCGTTCATTGATGCATGCATGCATAGCTTTAGCCAACGGTGCAACTTCAGGCCACTTTCCAGGGCCACATAAGATCATCAAGGCGTTTCCGTATTTTGGCTTTGAGGTTGGATTGCAGCAGAAAGCCTTTGGCACCGTTTGTACGGGCGATGGCTTTCCTGCTGGCTTGGGGATGTTCGATACTCGTGTTAGCTTCCGCTAACGTGGGCCAGCTAGAACCTTTCACCATTCGCTCTGTGAACCTGCAAAAGTGCATCACATTGAGGCGGTCATGGTTCCTTGCCTTGGTTGATTGTGATGATGATTTAGCCACAAGCCGCCAAGTTTGGTACTGGAACCAGAGTTGGCTTGTGAACCGGCAAGTCAAGCGCAGCGGAGCTACTGCGTGCGCAAATTTTTACCCAGCTTTTTACGCTCATCATGGAAGGCCCTTGCCGGGCAACGCTTGTGAAGAGGGTCGACTCTTCATGGACTGGGCCTGGGAAGACGGCCGTATCAAAAACCCCCACACCGGGCATTGTTTTGATCTTCCAGGCATGAACTTTTCTGACATTGATGGGTACACATCATTTGCCCAGCAAACCGTAGCACCAGTGCAGCTTGGGAAAGTGGACCTTGCTGATGATGACCAACTCTTCCATCTTTATCCTGTGCCAGGCCTAGGGACACCGCCCGCTTTTGAACCGCTGACCGCTGAAACCAGCGAGCTCCAACACAAGCTGGAATCCAACGACAGGCCTGGCTTTTTTCCGGGTTGCCCTGATGGATCTGCTGGAGAGCGTCACTTTTGCCCAAGTCCGCAACGTGGCTTGACTGCTTAAGCCGCTTACGCCCACTTACTGATGATCAGAGGCTCCTGTTGCTCTTGTTAGCTGCAGGGCATTTGTCATCATGAATCATGACTGACACGAAAAAACTGCAGTCTCGAACCAAACAAGCAACTATATTGCTTGCCTGAAGTCATGGTAAAGCAAGGGTTATATAGGGGTTTTATAGGAATTCTAGGATATATATATATATTAGGGTTATATAGGGATAATGGAAAACAAAATGGAAACTACCATATAGGGGCCATGCCCTCCTTAATTGGACTTGCCCAAGCGCTGAGGACCAATCGAGTCAGATCCCTGCCAGGGCGGCACTGTTCGCAAACGAGCTGTTTGTGCACCTGGCTACTTTGTGCATATCCCGGGAGTCCAACTTGTCGACAATGGTGGCAGATTGTCCTACAATTGCTGCTTGGGTGAGACCATGATCAGCAATTTGGGGACTGGGTGTACTTGGAGCCGCTAGCCATCACCCTTCTGATTCTCGGAATCATGGGCATACTGGCATCATTTGTGTTGAAACGCTGCTGCACGCGCAACATTGCACCTCCCACCGATGGCGACCGTCACTTGGTGGAACATCCGTCGGTGCAAGATGGCGCACTCCGCCACCGAACTGTGGATCAGGAAAAATGGGGCGTGACACTGCGAGACTTGAGGCAGTTTAAACGGCTTGTGCACGACGCTGTCATGAAGGGCATCATCAAACCCCACGACCGTGATCAATTTCTACCCTCAGCCTCTTGTTGGAATAAGTCGCGTTTGCAGCTAGAGAAACACACAGCCGTAGCTTGATTAATTCCACTTGTCTCTTTGTTGCTACGCGATGCTGGGTGATGCTCGTCAAGTTGCTCACGCTTAGCCATGTTGTGCCTGAGGACACCAGTTGCGGGCCCTCAGTGTACACCGTGACTCAGCAATTCATCAAGCCGGTGACAGAAGCCGCCGGGAACGTCAGCTGGGCATTGATGAAACATCCGGAAGGTTTGCTCTGTGATGTGTTTATTACGCATGGCTGGGCCGAAGGCATCTATGAGTTTGTTGACAAGGTAGAGGACTCGTGGCCTCGGGGAGGCACTGCAGCCTGCGTGTGTTTCTTATCCAACCCGCAGAACCTCGACATCTCCGATTTGATACGAAGCCCAAGAGAGTCACCGTTTGCCAGAGCTTTGGAAAGTTCAAGCTCCATGCTTGTAATCCCAAATCATGTCAGCAGCATTTACTCACGTATTTGGTGTGTTTACGAAGCATTTCTCGTCCACACCTGGAACAAGCCAATTCGGGTGGCTCAAGCTCCAGTGCCCACAGGGTCAGACATGCTACGAGTCTCTTGCGTTGGCCTTTCAGCTCTTGCTGCGGGACTTTTGACGGGCATTTCACAGGCTACCTACTTTGGCCTTGCCAAGAGCACTGAGCAACAGCTGCAGGTTGTGCGCAATGCATTCTTCTATTCAGCAGCAGCCTTTGGCTGTGGGATAATGTTTCTTTTCGTGATGAGGAAACATCATTGGATCGCATGCCAGCTTGCAATCTACGTGTTCGCCATTTGCTTGGAAACTTGGCTCCTCATCATGACCCTGGCTTGTGGTCAGGTTCCCTGCAATGTACCTGTGTTAGTTTGTGTGCGGCCCTTTCCGCATCTTTTGTGCGACATTCCCCTTCCTAGATTAGATGCTCCCACTTCCTGCATAAGCATTCCTTTCATGAGACTAGCCTGATGGTTGCTTGTACAGCCTGACCAACAGTTATGAGCTTCTGCAATATAACCCTATTATACAATAGTAGTTTCCATTTTCTTTTCCATTATCCCAATATCACCCCAATATATACCCTATTATACTATAGTAGTTTCCATTTTCTTTTCCGTTATCCCAATATCGCCCCAATATTACCCTGTTATACTATAGTAGTTTCNNATATCACCCCAATATTACCCTATATTATACTATAGTAGTTTCCATTTTCTTTTCCATTATCCCAATATCACCCCAATATTACCGTATTATACTATAGTAGTTTCCATTTTCTTTTCCGTTATCCCAATATCACCCCAGTATTACCCTATTATACAATAGTAGTTTCCATTTTCAGTTCCGTTATCCCAATATCACCCCAATATAACCCTATTATACTATAGTAGTTTCCATTTTCTTTTCCATTATCCCAATATCACCCCAATATTACCCTATTATACTATAGTAGTTTCCATTTTCTTTTCCGTTATCCCAATATCAC